AAATGGTAAGTCTTTTTGGGAAGATCATTGTCTTTCTTTATTTCACACAACTGCACACACTAGGTGTCAGCAGGGCTTAAAAATAGACAAACAAACAAAAACAACTCAGCACTGCCAAGTAGGCTCCAATTCATCGTGACCCTCCATTTTATTTCCAAGGTTACACTTTTTTTTTTGGCATGCCTTGAGGTGTGTTTTATTTTCATTAAACATACAAATAATTTTCTAGACTAGCCTAAGGCAAGCTGGAAACTTCAGTGGTCCCTTCAGAGACCCACAGGCCTGTGGTCTTCCTCCACATCATGACTAGGGTGTTGCACACAAAGCGAACATAGACGCCTGCAGGATCTTAGGACATCTCAATCCACTTCTCCTGCTCAGTGGTCTCTTTGGTCAGCAGGGTGTTCTCTTGCTACTCCATCTTCTCCAGCTTTACCTTATCAAAGCTGACAATTTCCCCCATACCAGGCTTATCTGCCATTTTTTCATTAAATGAACCATAGGTCTCGTCCAACCAATGCCCAGGCACTCCACTCCTGTTGCTTCAGCAAGAGACTAAGGCTATACATTTTTACCAGGAAAGACTGTACATCTTTCATCTGTGTAGTGGCTGGTGAAATCAAACCATCAATCTTTTTATCAAATTCATGCTTAAGTCAATTTTTCTCCTTCATTTTCCCAAGGATATTATAAAAAGTGTGTAGGATACATGAAGATGGCTTTATTTGATCTCTACGAACTCCAGAAAGGAAGACTGTCCCGACCAACAACATCCACAGTACAAAAGAAATTCTTGTAACATCAGACACGGGTTCCCACACTCCTGCACCTACTTCTACTAATCCCAATATCAACTTTACGGTTGTGCTTGGAAAGAAATCCTTTGCAATGACTACACAGACCTCACAGAAACGTAGTGTTCTGAAGTTTATTAGAGAAGTTAACATGCCAACAGGATACAATTCCTCAATCCAGGTAGCTTCTCAGACGTACAATTCCTCAGTTCAGGCGAGCTCTGGTGGCCTAGTGGCAAGAAGCTGCACTGCAATCTCAGAGGTGTTGTTGTTGTTATGTGCCGTCGAGTCGTTTCCGACTCATAGCGACCCTATGCACAACAGCCCTAAACCCTGCTCTATCCTGCGCCAACCGCACTGCCTCTGACACACCCATCCCCATTACCCCAGTCACTGAATCGATCCATCTCATAGAGGGTCTTCCCCTCCTGCGCCGTCCCTCCACACTCCCAAGCATGATGTCCCTCTCCAAGGACCCGTCCCTCCTGGCAACATATCCAAAGTATGTCAGACGAAGCCCCAGAATCCTTGCCTCCAAGGAGTAGCTTGGTTTAATCCTCTCCAAGATGAATCTGTTTGTTTTCCTGGCAGTCCACGGTACATTCAGTACCCTTCTCCAGCACCACAGCTCAAAAGCATCCACTCTCCTTCTGTCCTCCCTAGTCATTGTCCAACTCTCTGATGCATAACAAGCGATTGCAAAGACCATGGCATGTATCAGGCGCACCTTAGTCTCCAGAGAGACACTGTTGCTCCTGAGTACCTTTGAGAGGTCCCTAACAGCAGACTTTCCCATCGCGATATGCTTTTTCATTTCCTGACTGCTGGTACCAAGAGTGTTGACTGTGGAGCCGAGCAAACTGAAGCTGTGAACACTCTCAATCTCTTCGTCATCCATCCTGACACTGCCAATTGGTCCAGTGCCGAGAATCTTTGTCTTCTTGACATTGAGCCTCAGTCCATACTGAAGGCTGCAGTCCTTGACCCTTCACAGCAAGTGCATGAGGTCCTCCTCAGTTTCAGCAAGCAGGGTTGTGTCATCTGCATAACGCAGATTGTTAATAGATCTTCCACCAATCCTGATGCCACAATCCACCAGATGCTCTGCTGGAGAAGGAGAAACAATCTCCTCCTGTATCAGTCAGATCTGATTTGACAGTACACACAAAAATAATGAAATAAAAATAAAATTAAAAAAAAAACAAACAATTCCTCAGTTCATACAGCTTCTCAAGGATCTTTGGCAGGCCCTTTGACCTTTAGCCTCACAGTTTAGGTTAGTATTACAGAGTTCCCTCAGTCCTGCCAATTATGGCATCTTCCCTCAGTCATTGAGCGAAGTTGAGTGAGAGTCCCTGGGCTCTGGTCTGTGGGCAGCAGTTCTATCTCCTGCCAGTCTCTGATTCTCTTTGGAGGCTGATGCTGCTTTCCTGTAGGTCCCGATGGTCTAACACAGGAATCTCAGGTCCACATAATGCACCCTGCATTTCCTCCTTCCTCTTCCTTGCTAGTAGTGAGATTTCCCCCGTTCCCTGCTAAATATGCTCAGTTTAATTTGGTGGAATGGGAGAAATCAACCAATTCTGTAGTGATTATCCATACCATATTTTAAGTTCTTTCCCACATTTGTGGTGATAGTTTAAATTGATTGCTAAATAAGCTATTTTGAACAATAACCCTTGATATTACAAACATTAAATGCAATGTATTACACTGGGTTGGACCAAGGAACTGAAATAGGATATTAGTGGAAAAAACTGGTAATATCTGACTAAAGTCTGTCATTTATTTAATAGTAATGTGCTAGTGTTAATATCTTCATTTTGACAAATGTATCGTAGTTTGTTGTGAGATGTTAATAGTTTAAACTGGATGAAGAATTATTTTCTGGTTTTCCTATAAAACTTTTGTAATTCCAAAATTATTTTAAAATAAATATTTAAGCAAGAGTTTGTTTCGTTTTGGGTTGTTTTTGTTGTTGTTGTTATTTTCATTTATACTGGTTTATTTACAAAGTTCTAATACATTATTTTTCACACAAGATCTTTCCCATTTCCTTCACTTCCACCCACTCATCAAATTGTATGACCCTATGAGTAACTACCTCCCCTCCATCATCACGCCTCTGTTTCCACCCTCCCACCTCTTAGATACTCATGCTCATTCTACAGTAATGGTTTTGTGCAATATTTGTCTTTATGGGACTGAGTTAATTCACTCATCATAATATTCTCCAGTCCCTCCAAAGTTAGGCAGTAACTTGCAAAAACATTACTCCTGCGTGCTGTGTAGTATTCCATCATATTTTTGTACCATAATTTCCCAAACCATTCCATTATGGTTGGACATCTGGGCTGTTTCCATGTTCCTGCAATGGTGAATAACATTGCTTAAGAACACTGGTGTATAAGTCTCCATTTGTGCCTCAGTTCTCATTTTCTCAGGGTATAATCCAAACAGTGTAATAGATGGGTCATATGGAATTTCTACATTCAGCTTTTTGAGGAAGCGGTGAGCAAGACTTTAAAGAGACTCTTTCGTGTCAGAACACAAAACAAAGTACTTGCTGCAAAGTGGAGAACACAAGGAAAAAACAAGTTCCTGATCTTAAGAAGTCTATAGCTGTTGTTGTTGTTGTTGTTGTTGTTGCTGTTGTTGTTGTTAAGTGCCCTCAAGTTGCAGGCGACTCATAACGACCCTATGAAGGAGAGTCCTCAACGCTTGGGTGCCTTTCTTCCTCTCTCCAGGTTCATAAGGTTTTCGGAGGCAAGCTATTAGGGAAGTGAATGCCACTCCTCCTTCCAAGCTTGTTTTCATCGGGGAGCTCCACCCCACTCTCTGTCCGCATTGGGTAACCAGCCATTAACGCATTTGACACATCAGTGTCAAAGTGTACTAAACTGTTTTAAAGTAATCTCTAAAATAGTATTTCATTAAGTGATAGAGGCAGTGTTACACGGTGATTAAGAGTATACATAAACTACCTATCTCTGTCACTTAATAGCTGCGTCATGTTGGGAAAGTTACTTAAACTCTCTGTGTGTATTTTCGTTATCTTCAAAAAAGGATGATAAGTATCTATCACAGAGGCGTTTTCCTCATGATTAAATTATAATCTATGAAAACACATAGCACTGTGTCAAAAACATAGCAAACCATAAAATTTTTTTGCTAGTCTCATCATTTTATAAAGAATAAAAAGAAATCCCACTTGGTAAGGCATTGTGCTGCCAAACCAAAGGCAAGTCATTCAAATTCACTGACTGCTCCAAGCGGAAAAGATGGGCAGCCTCCTACGGGATTCACAGCCCCTCAAAACCAGCTGGAGTTGGTTCTGACTCAACAGCACATAACAACAAGAAGAAGGAGAGTAAGAAAGCTTAGATCCGTCAAATTTCAACAGTATTAATGATTATCACTTAAATTTTTTTCCAAAGAATGACTATGAGCTCTTCTTATATGTCTCAAACATAGTTCTAAGTACTACCTATACATCATTTCACCTAATGTTGAATAATCATATAAATTACCATGTTATTTGGGATTCAGTTGTAAAAATTACTGTGGCTAGCTGGTACTGTAGTGTGTAGCATGTTATACTCAATCCATAATCATTAAACAATGAATATAATACACATAATTAACTGAATCAAGCAAATGCCCAGACATGGACTTAGACAATCCCTTAAGAAAAGAAAAAAGTAAAGTCCATTCTCATTTAGTCAGCTCCAAATGACTCAGAGTGGAATCATTAAAAGATGTTTATATTTTTAATATACATTTTATACATTACAAACTTTTAATCACTTTTTAAAAGATACAACAGTGGTACAATAATGCCCCACATGATGCCCCCCCCAAATATTAATTGTGAATCTACAATCCTCCAAGTAATAATTTGAGCCTAGTAAATAAGATGTGTTTTCTCACTGATTTAATTTATATAGCAGATGAGAAAAAAAATCTTCTGAAAAATAAATACATCATGTGCTTTCTGCCAATAAGTATATATTACTTCCTCGTTGTCATTAATGAAAAATCACATACGCTTTCAAAGTTCTGGAGAGGTTGAAAAGAAAGAAAGAAAACACTCAAGTGAGTCACCTATTAGACAATCAGGGCTGAGTCGCTGTATAAATATCTCCAGTCTCCAGCAGAAAGCATTAAACCCTGTAAGTGCAAGGACAATCGTGTGTTGAAGCAGAAATGTGGCTCCAAGTGCTGGGCGTCCTCTGTCTGCTGCCCAACAGCCTGGCCCTGCCGCTGCCCCTGCCCCTGCCCCTGGAGGCAGGAGGCTTAAGTGAGCAGGAATGGAAACAAGCCCAGGTAGGTCGCAGCCCACTTGGTTCCTTGGTGGTCTCACCATCACCATTAAAAAGCATGCTTTTCAGCTCTTTATCTTTTCGTGTTAGTACTGCATTGAATTTTCTTTTTTATTGTTTTCTGCTTCTAAATGTAACACATGCTTTAATCAAGCAGCAGTAAGAGGCACCTTCGGAGGCTACCCAAACTGGTTCAGTTCCTCCTCTTACCATATAGATGTATTCACATTGCCACTGAGTAGGCTCCTACCAGTGGGTTTTCAGAGGCTGTAAAGTGTATGGGAGGAGATCACCCTGTATCTTCTGAGAAGCATGTGGTAGATTTGAACTGTACACTTTTGGGTTGGCAGCCCATCTCCCCACCTACTAGGCCCCCAGAGCTCCCTAGATGGACTCAAAACTGTTATTAAGTTTTCTTGACCATCAGTTTTCCAATTTGGAATTTGGAAGTAAGAAGATAAGTGCATTATCAATCAAATGGGAGTGTTGTAGTATGTTCTGCACAGGATCTCAAACAAGATTCCTCTCAATAAAACGTATGTTGTCATTGTCATTATTACTTATTGTGACTTGAGATTCTTTTCATAAAGAACATAGGATCCTGCCCCTAAAGATGAGGGCTGCCTATATTGGAAAGACTTGAGGTCCAAAGATAGAGGTTGCAACTTTCTTTTTTAAGTCAGTGATGAGGGAGAAGGCACAAATTTTTTACTCTCTTTTCTCATGTTTTGTATGGGAATAATAATTCTGTGTGTTTAATATTTCACAGGATCCATCTAATAACTACATGAGGCTAAAATGCCAACTGTACAAATGTGGTAATAATTATAGAATATAAAGTACTTCCATACACATTGTGTCATTCCATCCTTAGCGACATCTGAGGGAAAATGAAATTAAAATTTAATTAATTCACACGCTTGTTAGTGGCAGGGATGGAAGTCAAGAACTAGTTCTTCTGGTTCAAATAATCATGTTCTTTCCAATAAACTATTCAATGGACAGAAGTGTAAATAATTATTCTTTATTTAAAAGACATTTACTCTGATGTCTTATTTATAGATTTTGGTTCTAAAGATTAGAAAAGTCAAATTTTATTTCACATTGTTCCAGTAACAGATCAAACTACATGAAATTACTGGTATCTGATTGTTCTCTTTTTTTTTTTTTTACTTTCCAAACAGTAATTTCATATAGTTCAACCTAATGGATTCTCCCAAATGAGCACATTTACAAAAGCATTTAGTCCCTTCACTTACTATACAGATGGCTAATTTAGAGGGAAGTCAGATAAGTTTAATAGATTATCTATCTAACTCACTCATTGCAATTAAGTATAAACAGACTCATAGCTGACCCTCCAGCAGGTTGACAGAAGCTGTAAGTGTCATGTGAAGAGGTTGTCTACCCTTCTCCCAAGAAACTGCTACTGGATTTAAACAAGCAGTGAGGCACCTCCTTTAGGATAGCTGCACAGCTTGCCAGAGTTTAGTATACCAGGACCCTAAATCTGTGGGTTTAACAGAAGACAGGACAATTCATCTCAAAGACACATATATTTCTTCTAAAGGATGTCCTTGTGACGTCTGTGGCTCTGGAAGATTAAAATGGGTTCTTTTTAAATAAAGCATAATTCCTAACTGCAAGGATGAACAATAAGTATTTGTTTCACTGGTAACAGGAAGAGGGCACCATATTAATAAGTATATATATATATATATTCACCATCTACCCATACACTACTAATTCTTGAGCCAGTGCTTGAGCATTTCAATAACGTTACTAACCCACATTATGTAACCCTTTTCATTTCTTCTAACAAAATCGGCTTTGGAATCAGAACACTTGTGTTCAAATACTGACTCATACATTTACTCTTGGGGTGATCTTGTACATGTTAATTTTGTCCTTTGAACATTGTTGATCCACACATAAAATTAAAAAGTTAATACCTTATGGACTTCATAGGATGGGTCACTCACCCATTGCCATGGAGTGAGAACCAACTCATTGCTGACCCTCCAGTGGGTTTTCAGAAGCTGTAAATTATATGGAAGTAAATTGTCCATCTTTCTCTCTGTGGAGCCTTCGGTGAATTCAAATGACCAGAGAGGCACTGCCTTCGAATTAGCAGTGCAACTCCCTACAGAATGAGCCACCAGAGGTTTAAAGAGATAAATATGCTTCCTGGCAGGTAGTTGTTGTCGTTGTTGTTGTTGTTGTTGTTGTTAAGTGCTGTTGAGTCGCAGGCAACTCCTAGTGACCCTATGAAGGAGAGTCCTCGATGCTTGGGTGCCTCTCATCCTCTCTCCAAGTTCATATGGTTTCCGGAGGCAAGTTATTACAGAAGTGAATGCCACTCCTCCTTCCAAGCTTGTTTTAATCAGGGAGCTCCACCCCACTCTCTGCCCGCTTTGGGTAACCAACCATTAACGCATTTGACACATCAGTGTCACAGTGTTCAGCCTCACAGCAACCACAAGTTACCGCTATACGGCAACTTGTATGACCTAGAGGAATGTCTGAACAAAAACAATGAAAGACAGGCCCGAGGGCTGTGGATTAAAAGTCACCCATCTTTGGCTTGGTGGCATTGCTTTCTGTCCACTGGGCCAGCTGATCTCTCTATGTTGATGTTATTGTTGTGCTCAATAAATATTATTATGAAATTGCTGCTGTTGCTGTCACTCACATTTTTTGTTCTGTTTGTTTGTTCCAATTTAGGCTCTCACACTTCCATTCTCACACTAGATATCTTTAAGAAATTCCAGGGATGCAGTTGGGCACCAAATAGACCTGAGAGACATGCTTTATTCTGTAACTCCCTACAAGTAGGTTTCACTAGCGATTTAATAGTGGGGAGAGCACTGTACTGGAAGCTAGCAAACTTAATGCCCAGTATTAGTATTAATATATGTGAACCCGAGCAAATCATTTAGCTGCTATGATCTTCAGTTTCTTCACCCAGAGAATATGTTTTTTAAACTAGGCTAGTGCTATTTTCTAGGACTATGATCCTCTAACTCTATCTGGCAGAGCTCTGGTGGCCTTGTGGATAAGGAGTGCACAGCCAACCCAAAGGTTCTAATTCACCAGCTGCTCCTCAAAAGACAGATGGGCAAGCTCCTCCTATGTTATTTACAGCCTCTGAAAACCCACTGGAGAGTCAGATTCCAACTCAACGACAATGAGTTTAGTCAAATCTTAACCGAGACCAGATCTCAACAGGATTTTAGATGGGCTGATTGCCTCACAATCTCCCCTACATCCACTGGTCAAAGATGCTCAGGTAAGGCCTCAGATATACCCTTGTGGACATACTAGGGCATTCTTCCTGACTGGCTCTTACAAATGAGTCTATATCTAATAAAGTATTTGGTATGTTTCTCCATGGAACATCTAATGAGACTAGAAACCGAGGATTTCTTCTCTCTTGCTCATGAAATTGGATGATAGTGCTTCATTATCAATACTAAATTTTCCCCTCATTGATGCATATATGTTTTATTTGGTGCCAGTGTAACTACTCTGTCTTCAAACTATTATTTTAATTCATAGGAATCAAAGGCAAAAGACAGGCAGATGTCTAAGACAGAAGAAGAAAATTAACTCAATTCTCTTTTTTCCATAGAATTATCTCAAGAGATTTTATCCATACAGCTTCAGAGCAAAGGATGAAAATAGTTTAAAATCCAAACTTAAAGAGATGCAAAAGTTCTTTGGTCTCCCCACAACGGGAATTTTAAGCTCCCGTGTCAAAGAAATAATGCAGAAGCCTAGATGTGGAGTGCCAGATGTTTTAAATTTCTCAATATCCCCAAGTAAAGCAAAGTGGACTTCTGATATCATCACTTACAGGTGAGTTTTGCATTGATTCATTTTAGCAAAGTACACTACAACCATTTTTCTAAGAGGTCAAATGCTGTTTTCTTGTTTGTGGCTAGGATTGCTTCATACACTGTAGATCTACCAGAGTCCACAGTGGATGAACTTGTGGAAAAGGCTTTAGACATATGGAGCGAGAAGATACCGATAGAATTCCAGAGAGTTTTTTTTGAAGATGCTGATATTGTAATTCGCTTCACCAGAGGAGGTAAAATGTTAATTCTGTTTTATATCTTATCTGTTTGTTGTTTGTATCAATGTCTTTCTCATTTCAATATTTAAAACCATTAATCTCTTTTTTAACAATATTATCCTACTGTTTCTATTCTTTTTATTTAAACCAAGCCAAATTAAATCCACTTCTTAGCTTTTTATTAATTGATATTTTAATGAAAGTTTACAGAGAACATGGATTTCCATTCATTCATTGTTGCACATTTTTCTCCCGGCTCCCCTCCCCTGCCCTGTTTGCTTTTCTCTTCGGAAAAAAAAAATTCTTTCATTGTTCTACAGTCCTGTTGTTCCTCCAACACACATCGCCGCTGAGTCCACTTTACTATGCAGCTCTTATACTGGACTCTTGTCATGCCAATAACACCTAATCATATATTCCAATTATACAGTTCTCTCGCTCGTCTGTTTCAATGCCATGTACATTATTTATCCACTTTTTCCTTAGTTTCCCCACAAACCCCATGTCAGTCTTGTTTTATAACAGTGGTAGTATGCAATATTTGTCTTTTAGTGATTGAGATATTTCACTCTGCATAATGTCCTCTGTGGTTACTCATTTTGTATATTTCATGAGTTCATTGTTTTTCAATGCTGCATAATATTTCATTGTGTGAATATACCACAGCTTCTCTAGCCATT